GTCGTATACGAGATGCATATGTCATTCGAACCGTAACGCTGCGTCAAAACCACGAAACGGTTAGGAGGGCCCGATTCGCTCTACATCACGTTTACGACATCCAGGTTGTTCTAAAGTGACAGGACAAAGCCCCCCTAATCATCATCGCATCGGTTGATTGTCTTGGGCCCTGTCTTGGCGACAAACCAAATAATAACTCCCGAAGATCTTCGATTTTAGTCATTTCTTCAGCTCTGCCGCCGCATTGTACGCAGAAACCACGTATCTCTTTTCCGATGTTTTACATTTCCGCTCCTATTTGATTATTTTAAAGGAAAACAAGCCCACTTCATAGCTCGAAAATCGCACAGGATATTCTGCTAACAGAGAAGGAACACTGTGGAAGTTCAAAGTGACTAGTTTTCCAGAGAAAAAATAAAATATGACAGGAAGTTTGCAACGTCGTAAGCGGAGATAAGTGGTTTTGCACTTGGGCCATCGATTGGCTTTGGTGTAGTTGGAGGCCTCTGCAGCTCCATCCTTCCAAGGCCATCACTGAACGTTGCGCTAAGGAATCGTACCGCGTGATACAACTCTTTCAACTTATGAGTAGGCCAAATCGCATAACCATCAAATGGAAGGAGCACTCTTCGCTATTTTAATTTTCACTACTTGGAATTCTGTGACGATTTTTCATTGATGCATACACTTTTCTAAAAACGACCGCAGAGCTCTCTAATCAAGATGAGAACCACAGTTAACGCGCCCAAGTCCCATTAATTGTTAAATCAGCAGTTTTCTACAAAAAAAAAAAAAAAAAAAAAAAAAAAAAAAAAAAAAAAAAAAAAAAATGCGGTTCCTCTTTGCACTTACACATAGTTTTACCAGTGAATACTTTTTTTAGGATGGGATGGGGGATGGGGGAGGGGGGGGGCACAATTTCTCTGCCAAAATCCAGAGGAGTATTCTGCCGTGCTATATGGACAAACGTTGTATGAACATTCGAGAGTTGTTAAATTTCCTTCAATAAAATGTTTATTTTTGAGGAAAATCATGAATATTTTTCCTTGAATTTTTTTTTCTGAATTGGTGGACAAATATTCAAAAATTTTCCTGAAAATTAGTGATCTGCCAGGGGAAATTTTGCGACGTTTGAAGGCTCATACGGCGTTTTTCCTTAGCACGGTAGTATTGCCTTCCAGTTTTCCACTGCTTTGGACCTCCCATGGGGATCTATGCCCCCGCCTGAGATATACCTCAAAGAAGTTGCTTATTCGAGCATCAAACGACTCGAGGTTTATTCACCCGAAAACAATCCTTCATCGTTGTCAATAACTCCTCGATTTCCCATTAATTGCCTCCGTTTCCTTCTCCTCGTTTCGCGGGCCAGACTCCCACATCTGCTCGTGTTTACACGCCACTGCAGACAGATCGGCCGAAAATTTCAGCTCGCGGTTATTTTTAAGCCAGCGGCGGCCAGAGGTCCGATCCGAAAAAATTTTACGACGGAACAATGAGGAAATGGGCAGCTGTGGTAACAGTAACCAGGGGAGGGGAGGCGGAATATTGACAGTTTGAGTAAAGTTACCTTGGCGGTAAAGGTTTGAAGGTAAGAACTGTCTGTGCCCTGTTCTTTGCACGGAGGCTTAATTTTTGGACGGTTGCCAGCCTGGGAAAAATTGCCCATCCAATCAAGCAGTCACCGAGGCGCTCGATATCTGTTTTTGAAATCTTTGCACTGTTTTTGAAGAGTCGCAAAATAAACATTTTCTTAAAAACCGTCTGGATGTTCTTATAAAATGTCGGTAGGTTATACTGTCTTTTTAAAGTCGCTAAAAATATAGTTTGATAGAACTAAGAACCCAACTACACTAGTCTAATTTTAAAGATTCAGATTTGAATGACATAACTGAAAAAAACTGTGAAAATTATCCACTAATACCGATCTGATTAGTTTCCGAGTGTGAAAGGCTTGAAGGTAATGCTCGAGTTTGATTTAAACAATGAATTTTTGGTTAGAGTGGTCAAAAATGAAGAGAAATACATCATATGATTTGAATCTCTTGAAAATGACCAAGTTCCGATTTCTTTCTCAGAATATGAGATTCATGACTTTTAAAAACTTTGAAAAAGCTAAGAACCTCATTACTTAAACGTATTTGGATCAGTTACCTAGAACCACTTTATTCCTTGTTTCCCTTGTTTTTCTATTCAAACAATTTCCTTGGTTTTTCAATTCTAGGCTGTGTAAAATTTCTGAAACTACGTATGCTGCTGCAACCGTGTTATAACTTAAAAGTTTAAAATTCTAAACGGGAATGATGTTAGAACGTGCAGAGGAATACCCCGCACTGCTCGAAGCTCAAAATAGAATTTACGACTTTGACGCCGTACCGGAATCAATGACAACCGCATCGCCGTGACATACAACTCGATCACTTTCCTAAAATTACCGGAAAAATATTGTCGCATAAAGTCAAGAGGGTACGAAGATTTCGGCGGAGTGCCACCGTGAGATTATATGATTATTTTTCCCTTGTTTAACGACCGGAACTCTATTTGCAAAATTAAGACTATACGGCTATGCTTGATGCTGCGAAAGCGAGTCATTGAAAATTTAACGTCAAATTTCCCGTAAAAATTAAATTTTTGGATTATCGATTCAATAAAATAGCAATTAAGAACTAAGACAGGTGATCTATCATCGATCACTTAATGAAAGGAACAAGGTAGACAAAGCAGACACGTGACAAGGTTTGAATCAAGGCATAATTCCATATTTTCATACTATCACCACAAAATATGCACCTCTACATATATTTCCCATATTTCATATTTTCTCCAAAGAATTCTACGTAGAAGATGGTTCGCACAGCAAGAAGTTCGGAGATCAATAACGAAAGAAGAAAAGGATTTGAAATTGACGTAAGTCAAACGGCTAAAATGCAAATGACGCAATACGTATGATTTGCGTTCCATGCGACCAGTTTAAAGTATATACACTTTGATAACTCCATGAAGATTTCATTGCTAAGTTTTCGATGCTTGAATAGCTTCTTAAGTAACATTTTAAGGAGAACTCATGTGATGCGATGCGTTAAATCATACCTACTTCCTCTTGTGACCCACTGTTGCACCATGACTGTAAGATTGTTTATTTCAAGTTGCATGAAAAATTGGTGTAATAATTTAATTTATAGAACTAGGGGTTATGCCCCTTACCGCTTCGCGGTTCAAACCCTCGAAGCATCTCGCGTCTCAGACGTTATGCGTTACGCGTTACTCTTATGATTATAAATGGCAGAAGACATTGTAAGATTCGTACAGTCAGCAACAGCAACGGTAGCATTTTAAAGAGTGACATTTGTTCTTTCCCACTTTTTGAAATGTCTTACCCATATGCATCAGTTCATTTTTAGAATACAATTTATTTTATGAATCTAGCTGACTATTGTTACGGTCCGATCAGCAGACATTTGAACCGGCGTGTAGATGAATCACGATGTGTGCGTGAGATTTGAACGTTGGCCAACCGTGAAAATCCTTTGGAATTGAATCATCACTGAAGGGTAATCACATCCAATGAAACTGGGAACTACGCCTCCCTCTCCCTTCGGATGTTGGCCTCTCAGCTATTGATAACAAAATCATCTCTCACCACCGAGGAGTACCTATTTTTTGCGATGATTCACTTTTAACATTCTGACCGCTGACCCCCTCCCCCCATCCCTTTCCAAACATTCAACCTTCAACCTTCAATACCTCCTCATTATTTTGGGAATCTTCCTTGGACGAAACCCGGATAAGATGGGATACACCCGGATGAACCCTAGTCACTTCGAACGGACCCTGAAGTATCGCCAAAAAATGTCACTATTGAAGGCCTTCTTGCTTATCGCAGTTATCACTTAGAATACTCAGTGCTAAGGAAGAATGCTGCATGTACATTCAGGCGTTGCCAAAGTTTCAGTCCTCGAATATGAATTTTTTTAAAAAATGTATACTTTTCTTCTCTTTATTTTTCACATGATTTTGGTCACAGTTTAATTAAAAATACCTATCTGAGAGCCCATTATATATTATTTTGAATATTGTTATTTTTTTAATGTTTTTTTCATCAAAATTAAATAGTGTATCGACAAAAATATTGCAGCAACTGAGTGCTCATCATATGACGGTCTCCTTCGCAGGGCAGCACACTCTTAGTAAAGACTCAACAGCACTGAGAAAGAGCTCTAATTAAGATGATCTTATCATTAAAGTTCCAATATATTGGGGTTTTCGGCCTAGAGAAGAAAAATTTAACGATATCCGAATCAGTCATTCCAAGCATTTATTGTGCATTAAACTTATCATTGTCTTGTAAGTTACTTCAATTCGTATACAGTGTTATTAAAATCTACTTTTTCAACGAACGTCTAAATTTGTAGAACGTTAAGGGAGGGGGGGGGATTTAACAGGTTCCATGAATTTGGTGTAGGGGATGATTAGCCCAAGAATGACGTAAACAAACATAGACTTTTCATTGGTTGCATTTATAATTTTCTTTAGATCCCTTTGTTATCTTCTTCACTTTGCTCCTTTTTCTACGTATGGGAGTGTTGATCAGATCTGGGAAGAGTCTCCGATAGGGGTGGCTCTACCGTAAAAGAGTATATAGTATATCAGTTTTTTAGGGTCAGAAAGTTCCCACTTATTCCTCCTGGAGTTTGTGTTTCCTGTGAGCAGCAACATACTTATTCCTTTAAGTTTAATAGGAGGGAAAATTTCATCCTTTCTTAAAGTGAAATCACGATAAAAACTGTATTGCTTCAAGGAGGCATTTCTTTAATAATATTTTTCCTAGACGATTTAAACACTCACCCCACCCCTCCCTGTGTTAAAAAATGTTTTGTAACGTAAAGGTTGTAAAACTATTGGTCATCTTCTACGATAGAGGGAAACCAATTGAGAAGCACTTTGTCTGAAAAAATAAAATTAAAAAAAAAACGAAAAATACGGGGCAGCTTTCGGGTGCTTACCTTTTGGATGAGGAGGGGGGTGCCGAAATCCTTACCCCCCTGGAGGCGGAATCCCCAAGGGGTGTTATCGTGGCGAACCAACTTCACGGTCACCAACTGCGCCATGGCGTGGGATGGCGTCAAGGTCACTGCACTGGGGGATGAACCGCGGGATTCGAACTGGGACTCGGCCGGGCGACGGGGGCTGGCACACGGGGAAACGCGAAATTCCGTGCGAACTTTGACGGGGCGTGCGGCGTGCGGCGTGCGGCGTGCGATTGGGGTCGTTTTCGAGCGGATATGCAGACGGCGACAGCGACGGCGGCGAGCGAATGGAATGGGCCGGCCAGCCCCGCAGCGCCTCGGCCGGCCTGGGCTATTTTTGAATGGACGCGAGCTGCCTGCGCGTCAGACGCATTTCCGCTCCCCGCGCATATCCGCTTACCGACGCCGTGATCCGCTGCAACGCGCCGCGTACTATTCGCAATCCGCAATACCAGGTGTCCGGATATCTCACCATTTCTAAATGTTCCCAAATCATCATTTTCTCTTCTCTTACTCCTACCTTTTTCTCTTCTTCTTCTTCTTCTTCCCCTTCCTTTCCTTCTTCTCTTCTTCTTCTTCCCCTTCCTTTTCTTCTTCCTCTTCTTCTTCCTCTTCCTCCTCCTCTTCCTTTCCTTTTTCTTCCTCTTCCTCTTCCTCTTCTTCTTCCTCTTCCTCCTCCTCTCCCTTTCCTTCTTCTTCCTCTTCCTCCTCCTCTTCCTTTCCTTCTTCTTCTTCTTCTTCTTCTTCTTCCTCTTCCTTCTCCTCTTCCTTTCCTTCTTCTTCTTCTTCTTCTTCTTCCTCTTCCTCCTCCTCTTCCTTTTCTTCTTCTTCTTCTTCATCTTCATCTTCTTCTGCTTCGACTTCTACCTCTTCTTCTTCTTCTCCTATCACTAGTATTTTTGCTACCTTTTCTTGGTCGTCTATTTATTCCTCCCTTTTTGTTTCTTATTCTCCTTCACTTCATTCTTCCCCTTATTCTTTGTCTTTTCCTTGTCATCTACCTCCTTCTTTCTTCCTCCTATCTACACGTTCCTTCTAATTTTTTCTTTTTTGGTTACATGTACTATGACCTATAACTACCGAGGTGTTAGTGGCCATAGTTGCTAATTCACCGCTTTCAAATAAATGAATATTACTCCTTCCTTTTCTTCGTCTTTCCCTCCGTGTCCTTCAGTCCCCTTTCTCTTCCCCTTATTCTTCTTTTTATTCGTCTGCTTACTCTGCAATTTTACATTTCATCCTCCTCCTTCTTCTTTCTCATCCTCTTACTTTCCTTTTTATGATTCTTCTTTATCTTTTTCTCTTTCTCACTTTTGACACTCAGATGACGTTAAATTAACGTCTTCCCAAAACCTTTTTCTGGGCGTGTCCAAAGTAAAAGTCCTATTTAACGACAATATCTCTTCGGCAGAAATGAAGAAAAAAGAAGAATGTAAGAGAAACGGGAAGAACAAAAAGGAACGAAAAAATAATAAATAAGTAGAGTAGTGGTATCACCGTGAAATCGCACTCTTGCTGGGAACGGACTCAAAAATAGCTTTTTACCGAACGGAAAAATATTACAATAACGCCATGCCAGTTCGCCTTCAATTTCAGTCAAGGCAACGCAAGTTCCCACGTAGTTGTATAGTGGTAACGTCGTAAAATGGGACGTCCACTCTGTACCCATTTAAAAAAGGTTTGGGAAGAGGTTACTTTCATATCATTTTAGATCGCCTGCAATTTTTGGTGTAGGCAACACAAGCTCCCGCGTGGTCGAATAGTGGTATCACGTCCCTTGTAATAATCAGAAGGTTTCTATCGGAGCATTTGTTGGAGACACGACAAATTTTGCCAGAATCGTGTTATTTTTGATATGCTTATCGGTCACCAGAAAAAGAAGAAAAAGAAAATGGTAGACAAGGAAAAGGAAGAAGAAAGGACAATTTGCAAGAAGAAGTAAAGAGAGAGAAGATGATCAATAAAGGAAGATGACGAAAATAATACGAAGCAGGAAAAAAGAGGAAGAATGAGAACGAATAAAAAGGAGACATAGAGAAGAAGAATGAGATTAAAAGAGGAATAAAGGAGAAAAGAAAAAGAAAAACGATAGAGGAAGACGGAAAGAAAAAAAAAGAGGAAGAGAGGGGGAAAAATGAGGATGAAGAATAAGAAGTAGAACAGTGGAGGTAATAGACGAACAAACGAGAGAGAAGAAGAAAATAATAATAAGAAGAAAATAATAAGAAGAAAATAATAATAAGAAGAAAATAATAAGAAGAAAATAATAATAAGAAGAAAAAAGAGCAAGAAGGAGGAGAAAAGACGAAGAAGAGGAAGGAAAGAGCATAATGAAAGAGAAATATGAATAAGAGAAAAAGGAAGAATAAATGGGTAAGTAGTAATAGTAGACTTTTTTTATATTATAGAGGTACCGTAGAAATTTCTGAAGACGCAGTAAAAGCTCGCGAAGTCGAACTACGGCTAAGACGAAATGCTGATCAAGTCGAATTTTATTTCGGTTCCTAGACACGTCCATAAGTTAAGTGTAGAATCGATTAAGACAAATTGCCGCTCAAGTCGAATTTTTTATCGGTCCCTACACAATTCGACTTGGCAGGCTTTTATTGTAATTTCAATATTTAACCTATGAAGAATCTAATCCATCCTTGAAGAATTTCAGTAAATTACGCCTTTAATGAGTTTATCAGGTATCAGAAATATAATTTATGGCGAAATATGGATACTTGTGTTTTCAGTCACGGGCTTTTCACTGGTTTTGCAAATAATAGTCTTCAATGTAACCAAGGCAGTGTCGCTTCATTGGTTTTTCCCTCCCGATTTTTACTTAAAATAAGGTGGCTTCCGGCCCAGAATCTTAGAGTATTATGTAAGTTCCAACCCCGATTTTTAGCCTGATTTGTGAAAATGCCGTTTCAACATGTTTACATGTGATCGAGCGCACAATATTCTTGGACTTAAAACCTCGGTCCGGTGCATTATACAGTATTGTATAGCCAACTCCTTCATCTACAAACTACTCCATATGGCCGCAAGCAGGAACAATTGCATTCTTAAAAATTGAAGGCGCGTATAGAGTTAAAGCGAATATTTGCACCATTTGGTCATTAATTTCGTCATTCAAATTCGTTTCCAGTGGAAGCACGCACACGCTAAGAAAAGACTACTTAGGTAAGAGATCAAAACTTAAGGTTACAATAATATGTTAATTTGCCGCTATGAAAGGAATCGCAAAAATAAGAGGAGATGAATGCAAATCATTTAATTCATGCAGCTGTTAAAAATTAAGTGCTTTGGAACTGTAAACGACGATTTCGTCCCGATGAGGAGTTTCCAAACACCAAGAAAAAAATCAATTTTTAAGGGAGATTTAGGAAGGAGAAGTAAACTTACACGGATGCATTGACTTTTAAGTACGTTTTAATAGAGTTTTTTATCACATGTGCAAAACAATAAAAGTTAAAATCATTAAAAAAGATAACAATAAATTGGCAATATTTTAGAATTACGAACAGTTAGCTTGATTATTGCTAATTTTCAACATTTCTTTTCTTCTTTCTTTCAAAGAAAACGGATTCACACCCCTTTTAGAGGTTCCTCATTGCTAAGTGTCGTCTGTAGAATCTGCGTCGATTTTCGTTAATTTCACCTGCCCACCAGTGGCGTGGCGTGCTTTGCGATTTATCGATTGATCGGTCATTTAAACCCATGAAAAAGTATCGATTAACAGGGTGTTCGCAGCGAACACCTCAATAATCGATTATTTACCACAGCTTCAAATGGGGAAATATCAATATATCGCAAAGCACGCCACGGTCGCCACGTCACTGCTGTCCACAGCAAATACGAGTATTTTAACTGCTTTTAGCCAGAGTGACTTCCATGTGTGTTAACACAAGGAAAGTAAAAATTCAAAATTTCATCTACCTATAAAAGCTATGTTTAAAACAATCCGGAGCAAAAACAAACGTATAAATAATATAAAAATGACTTAAAAAAGAAAAACACTCAAGGATCTTTCCTTCTCCATATAAGTGTGCCATACACATCAGTAACAGATACCTGGAAATCAACTGAGCTCGAAGAAAGAAGTATAATTTTTTTTCTAAACAAAAGAACCAACTAAAAGGTGAAATAATGCCATCTAAAAAGAGATGGAGAGTAACAAGCTTCCAGGAAATCATTACCTTGATAAATTTCTCGTACACACATACAAAAAAAGATAGTATGAAATTAAATAATGCATAAGGATAAAAAAAATTCTCAGAATTGATAGTGATGACGGATGGTAACTTTAATGAGAGGGTAAGTCTATCTAAACTTTAGCATATATGATTACTTTATTTTGTGAACACAAAATTATCGACGTTCTTTCTAACTAGTTAAATTTTCCTTCAGCATGGGGACACAATTCAGGCAATGCGCGATTTGAAGTTATTATTTATAGAAAAAAGTATTGACCATATAATTTGAATTGAGATCCTTTGAGTCAGGACTGGTGTGATCTTAAGTACTTGTGGCGTTCAAAGGGAGTAAGGAGTAGTATATTGCTCGTAAAAAATGAACTTATGGTCTACCAAAAATAGAGTTTTTAAACTTTAAGCATTATTTGCTAAAATTGCAGATAAAAATAATAATAATTTTTCTTATAACCAAGGAAAAGCATTTAGAAAATAAACAAATAATAAATAAGTATAAGAACAGAAATAGGGAATGTTAAAGAAGGGCCCTAGTATCAAAACTTATCTTCTACAAAAACATGATTAAGACTATTTCGAGGTTAGATGGTCCACGCCAAATAAATTTGCGCACTTTCAGACTACGTCAGAAGATCCCTTATCTTGGTTCTTCCAATTACTTTCAACACTAAAGTAACGGCAGACGATCTTCTGTAGCTCAGTCGCAGTCTGAGAAAACGTAAACTTATTTGGCTTGGACTCTTCTAATTAATCTGCTCTGATTTTAGTCAAATAATAATATGACACCATTTCAGATTCCAATGAAATTGTTCACTACGCATATGAATTAGACGTAAGCCTCTTTTCTCTAGTTTAAATGCTCTAGGGACATTGTGTAAAAATCAATCAATAATAAATATATCAAAGTTTAAGCACAGAGTTCTGGACTATAAATATAAAAAATCACAGATAAAAAGCTGTGGCAAAGCGCCTTTAGAAGATGCAAACTGCTAGGAGTAGAACCTAAGTACTTCTTGCTCTAACATATCGACGGTCATTTCGTTGATTTCTACAAATTTCTTGTTCTGGCGGCTGAAGTAATAGATATCTCCTGTGTAGATGTCGAACCAAAGAGCGTGAATGTGCAAATCATGACTTTCGAGTCGCTTCTTTAGAAACCCATAACTTGCAATATTTTGGAGCTGCTGCAAGCAGTTGATCTGTTGAAAGAAGATAGAAAAATTGTGCCTTGTTGAATCAAAAGTCATAAGACGAGCTCACATATCGAAAATCAATTTTAATATTTTAATTAAAATTACTCAGCTTCATTTGTATCAATAGTTTGATGCAATTATAGGACAAAATGTTTGTTGTCGCTAAAATGGAAATGGACAGAAGCTTTTGGTGGTACACGGACTTCATGTCCACTTTTTTTACGTCCACAGACTTTTCGTCCACAATTTTTACGTCCACAGTTCTAAAGCCCACACTATTGTTAAGTCCATTGCTTAAACGTCCACTAAGTTAAGTCCACAAATGTAAAGTCCACTAAAATCAAATTCAAGCGTCATATTTTAGTCCGTGTGTAAAATTATATTGACAGTATCAAAATGAGAAAATTAAGAGAGAATGAGGTGTTGTTATCGTAACTCATATTTTAAATGAAATGTTAATTTCTTCTTTTGATTCATCTTTTCAAATTGTCTTTGGTAAATACTTGGTTTCATTTCTATCCTTGAAATTTCTGATATAAAATATGCCTTAAATGTACATTCTTTTTTTTTAATGAAATTGATTACTTCATTTTAAAAACATTTCCATTTTTAAAATGTGGTAAATATTTGTAAAATCTTTTCCAAGCAATGTCATCGATATGAATCTCAATGAGCCGTAGTTGTGATGAAAGAAACTATACAAAAATTAATAAAAGATGAAAAAAACTAAGAGCACGCAATTTTTTGTTTTTAACTGATTTGTACATCGACCTCCTTGAGCCAAATACGTCCAATTTTGAGCGTTTGGTTGCGCTTACACCACGCTGCATTACAGTAAAAGACCAAAACATAAAAGAATAAATTTGAATGCTTTGGAAATCATCAAATTTGACACGGAACCACTAATATATTTACAAAAAACACATTATATTTTCTAGTAGTACATATTTCTTTTTCATCAGTTTAAAAGGGAATAATCAATGCAGAGAGTGCTAACATTTCAAAATCATGAGTTGAAAAACGCTGACTCCGCGAGTTTAAATATTAGAGCCTAACACAGAGCGGAGCGGCGTGTTAGCACTCAGCACAGAACGCCCACTGGCGCCTACGAACCTAACGGGATACTTCACGCGTTGCGTAACGCGTGAAGTATCCCGTTAGGTTTGTAGGCGCCTATGCGCGTGTCACGCTGGTTGCCTGCCGCGCCGCAACGCTTTAAGCAACTATTTCGCGTCAGAGGCGTTGTACAGTATCCTACAAGATTGAAGGCGCACGAAATAACTAGTTAAAGAGGACTTTCAATTTTGACTGCATCTGTTACTGAAATATGTTTAATTTGGCATTGGAGCGTTTCCTAGGCTCCCGCTTTGGTTTTCATCTAATCATATCCGTACAGTGTACACATGAACATATTATGTTTTTATCTGCTCTTAGAGTCTGTTCAACCCTCTTACATGCGATGAACCCAATATTACCACCAAAATTCTGAAACTCTTCACCTCTCTTAATTTAAAAATCTAAATTTTCGTTTTTACTCCCATTTTCAAAATTATCTGTAAAGACGTTAACAGCCTGAGACGCTGAATGTCTTAAAATTATACTAACTAACTAACTCTTTCATGACTTGATTCCTGAATGAAATGTTTTTAAGAATGAAGGTAATAGTAGTATGCATTTATTTTTGAGGTGGTTCCTATCATTTAAATGAGAAGAAAAAAATGTGGACATAACATGTCCACAATTTGGACAATTTTGGACATATTCATGGTTGGACATTAAATCATGTGGACTTAATAAAGACTGGACATAACGCTTAGTGGACATAATTAGCGGTGGACATTTATTTAATGGACGAAAGGTAGGTGGACATAAAGTCCGGGAAGCCTTTTGGTCTGCTTGGCAAGTTATGTCTCCATCAAGGAAGGCAAAATATTGAACATTTATAATATTGCTTTGGCTGCTTGCTCAAGTTTTGAGATGACTCATGAGGAGAATCGGAACTTATGCTTGCAAAATAGTAATTAGCGAAAATTGAATGAGAGTTGATTCGGAGAGCTTACAGTTTCTAGACTTTATAATCTCACTTGAGAAAGAAGAAAAAAACTTTCGGTATTTTTTCGTAGTAAAAATTCATATTTGGTGTTACTTACCTGCGATAACTTATCTTCGACACTAAATTTATTTTCAGGATCTATGTAGGCGACAAACTTTCTGAGAGGAGTTTCTGATTGAAATATCAGGGGGGTATGGAAACCTAGAATCGAGACAAAAATTTTCATCAGAGATCATAGTTTAGATCATTGATCATAAATTTAATGAAACTTCTCATTACCACTACTTACTGAAAGTAAACAAAAACATATGAATAAAATAAGAATCCCAAACTTGAAGAAACTCGAAATTTCCTTTTGTGTTTCTGTAGGTACCGTATTTCGTTAATTGTCATATTTTTTTTGTCGCTGCGCACACTATCGCCGCCGAATGGGGAGGGCAATAAACCCTCTGAAACGACGTACAGATAAAGAAATAAGTTAGGAAAGTTAGAGTTTTTTTTTAAAAAAATTCAGTGATTCCTGGGGGTATAGATACACCCCCTAAAAATAAGAATATTAAGACCTTTCCGAGATGTCCAAACAGCAACTCTCTACATTCTATATTAACCGAGATATCGCGCTTCGAAAAATTCGGTTTGTGACGTCAGCCATCGCAGAAGTGACACCCTCGGTTTCTTTCACTCTGCATTCATCAGTCAGGGAAACACACATTTGCACTGGTCACTTAACGTGAAACTTGGATGTAAGCAAGGTGGAAGAAACCAAGGGTGTCACTACTGTGGTGGATGACGTCTGAACCTATTTTTTTCAATTCGGTTAATATTGAAGTTAGGGAGTTGCTGTTTGGATATCTCAGATAGGTATTGCCAAATCTACAAAAATCAAGCATCAAAACACGATCCTGTGATCAGAGCAACTGACCCATATTATTACTAAAATGAGGGTAGCAAAATATTTTCTGTCTTATTTGGCGTCACCTTTATATCGAGAAATACTTCAAATGACTCTCATGCAACGTGAATTTTGGTTCAATGTAAGAATATAAAAGTCATTTGCTTACCGGCAACTTGTAACTGTTGGTACTTTTCTAAGGATGACATGGCATGAGTACAAAGCCAGGCTCGCAAAGGTGAGATTCGTCGATTTTCTTTGCTTGCAAAATCTACGTCTTGTAATGCATGTAACAGGTTCATGGCCTAGAATAGAGGGAAAACTAATTGGTATACTTGAATAAATTATTCAGGGGATGTGAAATCCGGCAGAGATAAAAATCTTCAATTCTTAAAAGGGGTAAACTCTTCGAAGGTGACCTTTAAAAGGATGCAACTATTTGACCTCCGGAGCCACGCTAGGCTGTATCTTTTCTCGTTGAAGGCGTTTTTTATGCATCGGCACTCGTTATCTGGCAAATGATGCAACCGCATGACTCGCTGATTTAAACTCCTACTCTGCAGGGTAAAAAAATGTTAGGGGTTTATCCCCTAAAATTGCGGTACTACCTCAATTTGTTGGACGATACGGATATTCCCAAATAATTTTGGCAGTACTCCAATTCAAATTAGAGTAGTGCCGCAAGCCGCATCATTTGGGTAAGTGGCCTAATTTATAGGGTTCTACCACAATAAATTGAACATGTTCATTTCATACAACAAATGGGACCTAACCCCTGCCTCTTTTTTTCCGTGTGTTGATTGAGAGCTTAAAGGATGCAACTATTTGGCGTACAAGATCACACTAGGAAGTATCTTTTCTTGTTGAAGGCGTTTTATATGCGTCGACGCTCGTTATCTAGCGAATGAAGCAACCGCATTACTCACTAATCTAATCGCTAATCAAGACAATGAGCAAATCGGTTCTACGTGAAATTCTAAAGAGGAAACATACATCAGAGTACTAAAGGTCGTGCTTTGTCTCGTGGTCCATTGAAAATATGCAAAAGTATAATAAAAATCCCGTAACCTTTCTACAAGAATATTCTTGTTGAAAAATTCCACTGGGAATTCTAAGTTTCCTACAGTTGTAAAACCAATTATGAGAATCTTGATAGCTTGTTTCCCTCCATGAATCTTTATCTTGGATCATTTCAAAAGAAGTAAAGGTAAGAGCTGACCTTGCAATCCGAATGGCCGCAGACGATAATATGTCGGATATCATTGACGACACAGCCAAGCTCCAAAGCGGCTGGTTCATTTGTAGTGAGTTCATCGAGAAAATGTTGAGAGTGAGGAATGAGATTACCAGCATTACGGACTGAAAAAAAAACAGTTAGTTAATTCGTATTCTCTGAATTCGACATGAAAAACAGGGTTAGAGAATAATATAATTTTTGGGCATCTTACTCTGAAGGACTAGAGAGGTTTCGCGCAAGTGCACGACGTATTATGCAAAGAGAGGATCAAATTTACAGTCACTTCGGTAAAATATGCATAATTATGGGAAATTTCAATCTCTAAATACGAGTGGTTATCTTCTTTGTGTAACTTAAACATTGTCATCATTTTATATACGCCTATTTCCACTTTAATGATCTTGAAAGGCGAACTTTTTGAACTCGACTGACTTATTTTTGAAACCGATTATTTTCAGCGCGGTCATTGGACGGGGTCCTCCCTCATAAAACTTGTCAGTCATCATTTTAGGGGCTCATTTTTATCACAGTGATTTTTTACTCGGATTCTATCACGATAAAAATATATTATCTGATATTTATTTTGATAAAATGTGCCCCCTAGAAAAAAAAATCAATAAATAAAAAAATTAAGACTTGCCATTGCTGATACGTGGTGTCTGAATTTTGCCGTGCTAAGGAAGAACGCCGCATAAAAATTCGAGAGTTGCCAAATTTCCTTTGATAAAATGTTTATTTCTGAGGAAAATTATGAATATTTTTTTTGAAATTTTCAGGGACTTTAGATCAAAATACAAGCAATATTCTCTGAAAAATTGGAAGAAAAATATTGACAAGTTTATCAGGGAATTGGTATTTTATCGAAGAAAATTTGGCAACGCCCGAAGTTTCATACGGCATTTTCCCTCAGCACGGCAGAATTGTGTCATATTTATAATAACATGGGAACCTCACTTTTCAAAGCCAGGACCTCCCTTTTAATCCCAAAGTAGGATCGAGGGGAGAGGCCGCAGAACGAGGAAATTTGGATTCCGTTGGGTCAATTCCTTGTTCAAGCTTCAAATCTTTGATTCCGCCCGACCTAAAATAACTGACTTAAAAACTCGGCGCGATTGCTTTGAAATCATACAGTGTCCATAAGTAAGTTCCTTTTCGACATTGACTCGAAAATTCACAGAGAAGGTATAGACAATATCCCTTACTCACCGACAAACATGTCTCCTACATTGGTCTCAGTAAATCTTGTAGGTATCATCCGACTGTCCATACATGTGAAAAATACCGCTTTGGGCTGGGGAAAAAACGGAGATAAAAAGGCATGAATAAGCATTATACAATTATGATATTTTGTCTCTTTTTGCTTCGCAGATGAGTGTGCCAAAAAAATGTATCCTGCCGTCAACGTGTGTTGCATGCAGCAACTCTGCTAGAAAATGCATTGCGGGGAAAAATAAGTAGTCGTTTTTTAAGTTTTGCAGTTCTAATGTATGACTCGGGCATTTTAAGCGGTTGAAGCAATAAAATTATGCCCAAGTAATAACGAACATTGAAACATTTCGTGTAAAAAGCGGATAAGTTGAACATGCGACTGATCGCATCAAAATTTGGCTTGAAAGTTAATTTAAATCTGTCTTGTATCTCTCTCAGCTGCAAATTCCATTCAAAAGCAATAAAGGAAAGGTGCCTCCTTCATCTACTAATATTTGTTTGACCTTACTGATTGGTTACCCTCCCGAACTAGTACCATGGAAATTCGTCAGCTTTTGCCCTTGATTTGCCAATATAACTCATTAACCCAGCTCACACGCCAAACAGTGTCACCTTGAATTATCATTACCAGTTTCATGTAAGAGATCGTATTCGATGGTAGTTCGATTCGATGTATCGTTTGGTTCAAAACAATAGAACACAATCTCAACAAAAATTTTAGGATTTAAATTTGAAAAGCTGAAAATGAGAAAATTCCTGACAATTTCACTTTTTATTGCCGTTTAGTACTCATAGTAATCAAATATCTAATAAAAAAAATCCCGTTCCCTCAGATTGCTCAATTGACTTTTGAGGCTATGTTTACATGTCGAACTAATCGACATCGAAACAATCTCACCTGTTTGATGCATCGAATATGATCCAGTAAAATAGACCTAAAATGAACCTGAAATAAGGAAGTATTCTGATGTTTCATCAGTCACATATGAAAACTTTCAAACAACATTTGAACTCAATGGAAAGCACAGAATAAAGAAGCTATGAGCGATGATCGAACACTGAGTTGTAAAACCCGCATGAGGAAAAAGCCCGCAAATTTGAATTTCCCGCCATCGAGACGGTGGCGCTCCAGCGCAGAGTCGCGCCACTACCAGCCTAGGCGTGCGGCATTGAGATCAGCTGTTGATTACACTTATGACCAGAGACAAGAGACCCTCCACTGGCCTCCTAGCGACAGGTGGAAGCTTTTACTTTCGGGGTTTCAACAATTCCTTATGGACAATTATGAGCGAGCAACAGTCATCACCATATTTTCGGCTGTTGACTTACCTACATGGTCGATGATGAGCTTCGGATGACGTCATAAGCCAAACAACTTTCCCAAACGTCGGCCATTTTCGGCTTGTTTGCAAAACGAAACTGCCAACACGTTGTTGAACATCAACCATGTAGGTAAGTCAACAGTAGAATGCTGAAGTCCCGAAAGTAAAAGCTTCCACCATGGCCAAGTTACTAGTGGAGGGTCTCTTGTCTCTGCTTATGACGCAAGTCACACAAACACGGGTCACGGGTCGTCGTCAACACGCACAACGTCTAAAACCCACTAGAACGTCACGTCAGCTCGTCCGACCAATCACAAGACGGCTTGACGTTATGCCTGACACCGAGCACTCCTCTTAATAAACACTTTTGACACTTTGAAAGGAAACCGCGCCCAAACGAGGGTCGGAAGGGACGTACCTCAGGGTGATCCTTGACTCGCTTGAACTGCTCGACCATGGTGAGCCTGTCAGTCCGCCGGTATTTCATGATGCCCCGAAAAATGCGATCCATGACGCCGCGACGCGCGAAACGATCCGAGCGGCATGCCACTTGCTCGGCGACTTTCGGTCAACTTGACGGAGTTGGCGTTGCGGCGGCCGAGGCGGCGGGTTCAACAGTCGCGTGTTGCGTCACGGAGCCGTCGTCGTCCGTCCCCACGGAGCCAGTCCGACGCGACGCGGGAAAGAACGGTTCTCGCTGGAGCTGGTATTTTCAGAAGTCGTCCGGGTCTAGCGCGCGCCCTGGTGGCGAGCTCCGATTCGTCGCCTCGGCTCGCACGCAATCGAGCACTTGTGCGAGGCGCCGAGCTACGAGGGCGCCACCCCCCCTCCCTCTTCATTAGGGTGCACCGTGTTTTAAAATTGCATAGGCGTCGTAATGAAGGGGCGCGGAGTTCCTCGAACTCTATGCACTGGAAAAAAACACATTGGATCTTGAGTCCAGACTCTTGAAAACATTGACAAGAAAAAGTACTCTTGATTCAATCAGAATGTAGCTTAAATCAAGAACCAGGCCTCTTAATTTAAGCGGATTTTGTTTTGATTCGAGCAAAAATCCGATTGGATCAAGAGTATTTTTTCTTGTTAATGTTTTCAAGAGTCTGGACTCTAGATCCGATGTGGTTTTTTTTTTTTTTTTTTTTTTTTTTTTTTTTTTTTTTTTTTTTTTTTTTTTTTTTT